AACTAAACGAAACTAAACTAATAACTAACTAAGAAACCTAAACTCTATAAAAAAAAAGAAGTCCATCTCTGGCCGCACACTTGGTGAGAGGGAGAGGATAACTGGGCTGTGGTTTGATGCTCGCCAGCCCTTAGAGTCCCATGGGTACCCAGAGCCTGGAGGCACTAAAGAGAGTCAAACCCCTTGAAATACAGACATGCAGGACACAGAGGATTTATTCTGAGTCAAAAGGAGGCAAGGAGTGTTCAGAAGTCACACGAAACCACCCTGGGTGATCTCAGGACCTTCGGCCTGTCGTTCCAAGGGTTTTTTGAGGCCCCTTATCCAAGCACCACTGCTGGGAAGATAACCTTGCCTGTGGGCTCCTTTGTACAGTCGCCACACTTGCAGCAAGTTCTTTGGGTGAATTCAAATCCTACTTGCTCAAACAAGGAAAGAGTTTTCAGTATTTGCTGGGTTTTTTGTGGCTGAAGCAAGTTGTAGGACTTTGCTCCGAGGCTCAGTATGTACTGGCTCTCGGCCCTGTAAAAATAGCAATTACCTCTCATTAAACATTTACGACGCCAGGCCCCACACTGGAGTTTGCGCTGCCTCACCGGGAGACAGGCACGCTGATCTCCCCGTTCACAGCTGAGGACCCTGGGGCCCAGGGCAGTGGCACCTGACCTGCCTTTGGCGCACAGGCGGGGCTGAGACCGGAGCTGGGTCTCTGGGCGCAGCCGTCTAGTGGGCTGAATCAGACAGAGGGGCTGTGGCTCCCAGACTTGGGAGGGGCCCCAGTCTGTGTGCCCAGACTTCCAGGCCCCCTTTGCTCAGAGCCCAGAGGGAGACAATTACAGGGGAAAGGGTGTGCGGGGTGGGGAGGGAGCGTCACCAGCACTGGCGGTGACGATGACGGAGGAACAGCCAGCCCTGCCTTCGTCTCCCTCTGCCCGCCTTCTGGGCTCTGAGTCCCTTACATCTGATCTGGGCCCTCCCCACCCGGCCGGCCACTCTCACCTCCATGGGGAGACCATCCCCCGCCCCCATCGAGGCACCTGGGACAAGGAACCCTGGTGAATGTGCGCTCACTGAGGTCAGCATGCCTCCTTGAACCTGACCCTGGGGGCTAACTTCTGTGTCCCCACCACACTGAATTCGTAATAATGGAGAGAAAACAGGACAATGGCAATAAAAAAACCCTACTTGGAAAAGAGGAGGAGAAGCAGCAGCAGTCAGTGATCGCCTGGAGGTCCCCCACTGCCGCCCAGCACGGAGGGCTGGGACCCCCGGCCTGCTGTCCCGACAGGAGCTGCTGGCTCCCCGCTCTGCCCTCGGGGGACTTCCTTTTGCAGTCAGGGGCGGAGGGATTGCAGGCTTTCTGTGTGAGATGGTGCATCTCAGGCGATGCCACTGCCAGGTCCAGCGCATGTCCAGAGAGAAGGTCTCCAGGTCCGCAGCCAGATTCAGGCTTGGTCCTCGGTCCCCACCAGCCAAAGTCCTGGTTCAGAGAGAGAAGGATGCTGGCCAGGCCAGGTGACTGCACCTCTCTCTGGCTTTTTCCATGATTCTGTGCCTGTTTTCTTGCTTGATGTTTTTTCTCCTCTAGAGAGTATGAATCCCTGAGCTGACAAGTTTCTTCATCTGTGACTCTCCACTCTCACAGCAATGAAGGGACAGCCCTGTAAACAGATAGCTGCGGTGCATCGGGGAGCATTGGCTCTTCCGTGACGTCCGAAGTGGCTACGTGTTCCCCCAAAGCCCACCTCTAGCACCAAGACGCCGGACTCCTAGTCCTCTGACCCTTCTCCACCAGGACGGCATCTGTACCAATGACAGGTGGGTTGGGGTGGGGTGAACCCCCAGCTCCCGGGGGCTGGCTGAGGCCTCCATGGTGACTGCACCACAGCTCAGCACTTCCTTCCGTCCACCTTTGCTTCCTTCAGCCCCCAAAGTGTTGACCCCAATAACACTCATTGAGAAACTTTTCGCTTCCCAGGGAACCTGACACAGGGC